AGTTTGCTCTGAAACTTTCTGAGGTAACGCTGTATTTACCTTTTGCTGCTGAAGGAAATAGTTCTTTACCAGTGAATTAGTCTAAAGGACAAAAAGAGAGAACATTAAAGATGTGATCATACCACTACGTTCCTGCATAAACTCATGGGTTCAAGCCCACTGACTAGCTAGTAAGAAAATGCAAATAACCTTGACTTCTAAAATACCTCAGAAATCAAAATACTTCAGTCACTAAAAATGGGGTCCAAACAATAAAGGGCTAAAACACTCTTACAGTATAACTCTTCTAATAATATTCAAAGGCCAGAAATCTTTCAAACTAACCTTTACTGCCACTGAGGGACAATGAGTAGAGAGTTTTAGCAGTACAATTTCTAGTGTATCTAGAACAAATACAACAAATACATACCGTCTTTTTTTTTAGATCTTCAACCTATATTTTGAACTCAATGTGTGAGAAAAGTAAGAACCATATTCAGCAATTCCTCACATAAATTTCTGTTATGGCACACCCTTCCTTGGCCAGACTGGTGAACCCTAGCAGACTTTCTCAGAGAAGATTCCTATTACATTCAGATTAAGGCAGTGGAGTATCTTTCATGATCCTAGCACTAGCCCACACCCAGCACACCCACCTCAACACCACACAACATTTTAAAGTTGTGCTGCCTCAGGAGGCCTTTTATGCACTTCCTGGCCTGTTCCAGAAGCTTCTAGCCAATCAGAGCTCACACTCAGAAACCTTTCCTTTTATGGAAGGCAGCTGCCCAGAGAAAAGCTGTTCTCAGCTGGTTCTTGCTGGTTTTAGCCAGTTCCAAGCAGCTGGCTGGTGGCAGCTCCCTAATGGGAGCAAGTGCTGTAAGAGTAGAACAAAGCCCTGGCAAAATGACCCACAACACTCCATAACAGCATATATGTTTTTGATAACTTTCACAGTATGTATTCCAATAAAATATTGTACAATAATTATAGGCAAAAGAGAAAGAAATAGCATTAACCTCCACTTCTCTAGAGGATTTCTGTTGGTTTTTTTTTTTTTAATATGATAGACTTTAGTTTTTCTGCGTTGATCAGGGAAAAAACACAATATTGTTATTTAGGCTGATGCTTGGAACTGAAGTGTTTCTAATGCAGTCAATAACTAGAATGGTGAGAATCATAATTTCTGTGACATCTATACCCTACTAGAAAAGGTGGCCTATTTTAAATGTGCTCACATGTATTCTTACGAATTGGGGCCTGTCATACCAAATTATTTCATTTTGGAGATCAAATGATACCTAGGTGGTATTAAACAGAAAATTTATCTTAATTTAAATATAGACCTAAAAAGCAACATTAAGAACACTTATCACTTTTTTTTTTCCTTAGGGGCACATTTTTCACAGTGTCTGAGTTAAAAACAATAATAGTAATTTTAAAAAGACCAAGCTATTTAGGCAAAGTGATAGAAATGAGAGCATTCATATACTATTTTTTCTTGTATCTGTTGCCTCTAGACAATGGGAGTTCAAGTTCACAATTACTAAAACGTGCTAAAGAAAAGAAAAAGAAAAGAAAAGAAAGCCTTTAGAAAGCGATTCAGTTTAAGATTCAGTAAGAAAAGAAAAGAAAGCCTTTAGAAAGTGATTCAGTTTAAGACTTGCACAGCGAAACTAAATGTCTCCATGAAAATGATCTAGGTGTGAACTAGACAGCTTCCATTATAGTCTGTGAAGAGCTAGGCAGCTTAGTCATCTATTTAGACAAATGCTTAAGATCACTTCTGTGAAGGCTTCTGCAGGAATCACTGAAGTTAGTCCTAGTAGCATAGTGAATTAGACCTACATGATTTTTTTTTGGATTGCAGTTTCAGTCTGCAGTTGCTCCATCAGATCAAACCTCTTGGTCTCTAGCTTAGTATCTCTGAATCACAAGCAGGTAGCTTGCTAATACAGATGCTGAACATTACTGGACGGTAGCGGTTAGAAAAGGCCACGTTTTGCACAGTAGTATGACTGATAAATGCAGTCTTCTCATCAAAAAGGGACAGCCTATCGATTACTTTATTGGGCAAGGTTGCAGATGTAACTGTAGAAAGACCTTAGTTGAAGAAATTGGCAGCTAATTTGGCTGAATTTTTCTTCAGTCACACTTTACATAGGTATCCATATCACATGAAGCAAATCGTTATCTAGACCATACACTTAAGACAGCATTTACACTTGATGCAGCGTTATTAATACCGATATTGACAAAGATGCTGATCTTGCAAAAATTTATCTGTATATGTGTGAAAAGCCTCAACGGTTTTCATGCAACCATTTGTACATATTTGCAGGGTTAGAGAATATCACTGATCATCCATTCCCATGCAAGAAGAATTTGTTACTGATGTTTGACCTTGTCACCTCTGCATCAGGAATTTAAATCCTCAAAAAGTATGTATGTATTAAGAAGTCATACTTCTCTATGTTCTTTTCCCAGTTTTGGGCTACCGAAAGAAAATATAAAACCTGTACTGTCTGTCACTATACTTCTCTAAAATCTATCATTCGGGTAATATAACAACTATTCAAAAAATGTAAGTGCATTTCACACACACTACATAAATATTAAAAATATAAGCAAAAAATACTATAGAATATCTTATAGATAATAATATAAAGGTTATTTTAAACATTGGTTCTGATTTTTGAGCACATTAAATTTTACTGTTATTTTACAGTTAACTGTTATTTTACAGTGTTAAAAATCTTGTTATGCACACTGTAAAAATGCCTGTTTTCTGATATTGGTGGCTTTTCTTATCATAGCAGTGACTTTTTCCTGTTATACTTACCCTTTTAATGGACACACAATATGTTACTCTGTGCCCAAGTTCACCTACTCTTTCTTTTCTCAAAAGACAAGGCACATCTGCCACCTGCTCTAGTCTGTGTCCCAGCAACAACTGTCGAGCAGCAAAAAGATTGATTATCAGTCAAAAACCATTCAACAACACCAGATTTTGGTAGGTTAAGCTTGCTGATCCAGCAAGAGATGGTGTGAAATTTCCAGTAATGTGTGCCAACATTTTGGTGCTAAAAGAACAGCAGTGCATGTCTCAGTGAAACACAGCCAAAGATATGCAGACAAAGCACGGAGTTTTTGTTTTAAACTTGGCTTAAAAGAGGAAAGAGAGAGAAAGAAAAAACAACTGGCTTAATGATTTTGAAAATCTACTATAACACTCAGTCACATGCATGGAAAAATTATGATAAAATTATCAGTGAGAAATTTCTAACAAGTTATAGCAGTAATAATTTGTAGTTTCAATATTTTCTGCAGTATGAAACTACAATTATACTTTATTGAATTCATTTCATTCCATGAGACAATCAAATTCCATACTATTTTAAAGCAGTGTATCCTACACTTACGCGAGAATAGGATACAAGGATCCATACCTTCTGTTGATGCACAGGCCATTTGTTCAGGCATTCCAATCAATGGAATGGTGTCATATTCATAATAACTTTCATGCTATCAAAACCTGCACATTAAAATGATAATCTAAGACACATGCTTACTACCATAATTAATAATGTTTTATGGTAGCATGAAGAAAATGTATGATATATCTTAAGTGACAAAAAAACCTCATGAATACTGCAATGAATATGCAAATATACTCCAATTTTACAATCTACTAAATATTAGTCTTCTATGTATAGACATATAGCTCTAAAACATTTGTTTTCTTAGGCAAATTGCCAAAGGACTGAGTAGATAACTTCTTGAAATGACATTTATATTAGGTAATATCAATACATAAAAAGAATAGAATTCATTGTCTGAATAGTCTGAAATTCAAAATGAAAGATTTAACACTAAAATATGTGTAGACTGCTTTTCAGGATAAAAAATGCAATTCAGATATTGTGTATTAAAATTCAAATGCTTGTTTCTTCAAAAAACTATGTAAGTGCAAAGAAATATAAAATAAGCACACTAGTTGAATGATTTCTCATTTCTCTTTGTCATTCTTAGCTTTTTTAATAAAAATCTTATTATATATTTTTCTGTTCCAAGATTATATAAATTAGAATATTCCATATAAGGATAAAAATTTTATCCTATTTGCGTTTCTCATTGTAATATACTAAAATTGGAGATTGATTCTACCTAAACGTATAGCATCCCAGTAACCATATTGCTTTTTATAATGCATTTAAAAATATAAATAAAGGTTCTTTCTCACAAACACCAGTTGAATTAATGGCTTAATAAAATACGTGATTGGTATCTTGAGTTTGATTCTGAATACTGTTTAATTTATAAAATGTTTTCACAGCTTTCCTGCAGAAAGCTCAGGATGCACTTCGTCATCTTAAAATAAGACTGAGGATAAACGTTTACATTCACATTTAAAATGTGAACTATTAAGAAGTGGTTTTCTGCCTTTGTGGAAAAACAACAGAATTACTAAATTGGTAAAGGAATGAAATGGAAAGAAAAAAAAAGTTTATAGTAATTATTGTTAACAATACTGAAGAATCTAAAATAATAAAGCATATTCAAGTAAATAATCCCTATTGCTATGTAAAACTTGCAAAAAATTATAAATGTTTCTACAAACAGCAAACAATTACATTAATGAATTTTCTCCTATATTCTGAATTATTTTTGCTAGTGGAAGCCTAATTAGTTATGTCTGTTAGATGTCACTGAAACCGAACAGTAAATTCAATAATCTCTTTACATTTTCACCATTTAACCTCCTGCAGGCTCCCTAATGTCTATTCAGATCTATATTAAATTAAGTACCAATGCTAATGAAGGGCAATAAACGTGGCTGTCAGTAGATTTTTCTTTCATTAAGCACATTATCCTCTTACTGAGCTGTAAATGAGTAAACATTAGTTTTGTTAAACCATGCAAAAAGACAGGATGAAAATGATTTTTAATTGCACCCCTTAAGCCATTTGCTGGGGGTTCTCTGTTTTGTTTCTGTTTTGTTTTGTTTTTACCTTTTTTTTTTTTTTTGAATGGCTCTGAAAAGCTCTCTCCAGTTGAAATACAAACGTCGACATCATGGGGTATGTCTTTGGGTTCTAGTGCTTCGGTGCCGCCTGCCAAGAACACTCATCGTGCAGCCATGTTCAAATTCAGCTTTTCCGTGCACTCCTCCAGCAGCTAAATGAATGCAAGAGGTAAGGAATACTGATTACAATATATTTATTTTATGATCAACATTTAGTCAGGAAAATCAAAATCAGAAAGCAGAAATCCACTCTAAACTAATATACAAAACCACAGTTACATCACTGTCATTTAGCATTTTTGTGATTTTTATCAGAAGTCATAGGATAAGAAGATGAGGAAAACAGAGTAAATAGCATATAGCATTAGAAGAACTGTTTTAAAAGGATTTTGCTCTTGTATTTTAGTGCCAAATAATACTGAACATTAGGAACTTCATTAACTCTTATTTTACATAGTTTTTAGAAGAGCTGTTAACAATTTGCACTTTTTAGGAATAGTATACAAAGAAGAGTTTTATGTAAGCATATTTCATAGCCAAAGAAAAATTATATTAGATTTGAATCAACTTTATGCGTGCAAGAAAACTTCCATTAGGGGCTACTGGCTTAACTGAGAACACAGAAACTTTAGCAAAGATGTTTCTTGGGCGAGTCTTGTAAGCAATGATTTTGATTACATTTGGCTGCCTTTTAATAACTTCGCATAACTTTGCAGATGCCTTCTGGGCATGGTAGAAAGCATTCTGTTGAGGGGAAAAAAAATACAGTTTAGAATACTTAATCAAATCTAATATACTTAGTCCTTTTTTTCTTCTTCTTTTAGAATTTTATAATAATCATTTAAAAAGAGAATCCTTATGTATATTATACTTTTATATAGTTTAAGAATTTAATTCCTAGGGACAACATTAAAATATAGAAAATATGGAGAAATTGGACTGTTTTAAGTGAAATGGATTTCATCTGTCCCAAATTGAGTTTACTTGAAACTTTATAGAATACTTGGAAAGTAGTTGTATAACTCCAATATGGATTCTTTTTATGAAATATCTTAAGTTCACAAGAAAATAAATCACCTAATTTTAAAATGTATCTCACAGAATCAGCACAATGAACTAATTAAAATTAGTTAATTAATTTCCAGCTGAAAAAAGTAAGAGCTGATATTGTCATTACTGAGGCAAAATTTCCATCAGATTGACAGGAATTATGCCTCTACAGTGACTGCAGAGTAGTAGGGCTTACTGTTAATTGTTTCCATTTCTCAGATTCCAAAACATATTCAATACAACTGGCAGAATAAAATTAAATAAATATTCAATAAACCACTCTAAGGTTATGCCTAGCAAATATATATATGTATATTTATAAGAAAATGTCATGTTTCTGCTAGAACAGTTCAAACATACAGTCTCAATCCTACTCTGTGACAAAAGGTTTCCAAGCAGAACTCAGAAGTTGCTTCAGGTCTAAGATTTTAATTTCTCTCACATGAAAATCCTTGGAAAAAATTCCATTTGCTTCAACAAGCACTGAACTGATACTTTAAAAATATTGGCATGTAGTTAAACTTACATGATAGATATTTTAAAACTTTCATATCTCTTGAATGACAAAATGGCTATATAAAAATCCTAATCTCAAGGTAGCTATGTTGAGAATGCAACCATAGAAATAAGAAACGCAGAATGTGGCTTTTATAAGGTACTATAAAATTTCTTTTTGGTTTTGTTATTCAGAACTTTCATATACTGGGGGACAAATATGTTAGAGTACACATTTTATCATACACATTTAGCAATTAAAAATACTATAATAATTTTGGAGTAGGACTTTCAAGAAACATTTAGAAAAAAATAAATTTGGAGCCGTTTAGATCCTGATGGCTTGAGGTCATGTCTACACAAACATGGGGACAACATTGTACCTATAATCATCTACATTTGTCTGAATTAACACCAATTTCTTTACCCAAAATGGAAAACACTGCCAACTGAAAGCTTTTGATGAGGAGATCTAAATTAAACATTCTTTAATACACTTTGGACTACCATGTCATTACTTCACTCACCTTTATGGTACATTGCAAAATCCAAGTGTTCTCCTGCCTTTTTTTTCCAGTCAGACAGAATCAATTCATTCTTGATTTAATTGCAGAGAATTACTTGCTTTCTTACAGAAAGACAATCTGATCTTACCTGATCTACTATTAGGCATATTAAAAATTCCTAAGCCAAACTGGGATGCCTACCTTTTTTTTTTTTTAATCATTCCAATTGTTTTCAGAAATGTTTGATAAAGTCAATATAGTTAAAAAAAAAAGAAAAAAAAACACAGATAAATTGATTAGTTAAAAAAATCTAAAGCAAAATTAGCAAGGTCTGTTTCAGAATATCAGCTGAATCATCATTACAGGGGACTGAGCAGCAGCAGTCATGATTAAAAGCAACAGAGATGAGCTTTGATTACCTTAGTTGACCTGTGGGAGTACTTTTGGGTCTATTTCTCTTGGATGGTGACATAAGGCAGAAATTTTCTGTAGTGTTTGATTTGTAGCTGTCTAAGTCTGATACTCCATCACAGCTCTGAACTGATTTTGTTTGATGTGTAGAACAATCCTGAAGTCTTGACCTTCTTCATATCACTGCTGATGCAAACAATGTTGTGGATAAATAGAAGTTGTCTAGACCCTTGCTTTCCTTCAGTACTTTTAACAGCTATTCTCACATATGGAGAGAGGCATTTTCTGAAGTAGAAATACATCTTTTTGCTCTAGTCTTTCAGTTAGTTTAAATAAGTAATGATTGACTGTGAGAAGTTAGGAGAATACAATCCTGTATGCATGAATACAATCCTGTTGCATGAAAAGCATGCAACAACTTAGTTGAAGTTGGAAAACACCTTATGAAACTGCTAATAGTTTCATCCTGTTTCTTATTTCCACAAACAATAACATTATTTCAGAATTTAACTCAATCTTTGCATAAGGTAAGACCAGATCTGGAATAGCAGAAAATGCTGTAGGTCGGGATTATCGTGAACTATGGTTGCTATTTCAGCTATATTACACATAGCTATATTTCAGCTATATTACATCTTCCTTCATACAAAATGAACATAAATTCTCATAAAAATAAAAGAAAGAAAGCCTCATTTGCACAGAAACATTAACAATAATGAGAAAGAAAGCCTTCAGCTTTCAGTTTGAGGGTAATATTACTGGGACAAAACTATCTTGTACCACAGGCCAAAAGTGTGGATGAAATATTGACTCATACGGAGATCATATAATCCAATTTTATCTAATCTTTTGGAGGATCTTAATCACCACTATTAAAACTTTGCCAACAGCAAATTCAAAGCTCAAACAGAAGGAAGCAAGAAAGAAACTGTATGTGCTCAACTCTTCATTCTTTCTCCATATCTGTGTAACTCTTAGGTGTCATAATATTGCAATACTAATTGCAAATTGCATAAATGATGTCACAGTGAATGTGAACTACAGACTCTGTGTACATTGCTTGCAGTGTGTTTGTTATAGAAAACCTTACACTAAAATACTATATATACAGGAACCCTAACTATTGGATTTCACTCGAAGGAATACTCTTTAGTATTATGACTCCAACCACATAAATGCTGTTTTGGATATTGACTAGTGAAAGGGATTTTTTTGGAAGCGGGCTTTTTTCTACAAGGCTCCTGTTAGCCATTTCAGGGACAAACAATTACTACAAAGCCAGAAACAAATTTATTTATGCAATACAATCTAATGACATTAGATTTCATTATCGATTCTGCAGCTGAAACTTTTCTTTATTTCTACCTATTACCATCAACTGTTTTGATGAAATACTGACATTACTGTTAGCATTAACTGGTGGTGTTCACATATAGCAACAAAACTAATATATAAGTGGTCTGGTGTAGCAAAGGGCTATTACTTTTCAACAATACATAGTCCCTATCTCCTATCACTAAGTTACATAAGGCAAACAGAATACTTAAAAGAATATTATTACTGTTGTTGCCCAGTCTTTCTCCAGTTTTTTGTGCGTATGCATACAGTGTTTGTAAACCTTAGGGGACTGTTGCATACACTCCAAATCTTCAACTGAGATTATTTCAAAATGATTACCATGGAATTACCAACAGCAGTTTTACTTACACTGCTGAGCTGTTTTACACTTTAAGAAACCTCAGACTTAAGATATAACTCTATTGCCGATGCAACACCATAATCAACACCATAATACAAAAGTCCTCACATGTGAAAAACTCATAAAAAGTTCATTATGAAATGGTATTTAGTAGTCAGGAAGAATGGCTTGGTACTCCTTGTTAAAGCAATGTTTCCATTTAGTATTTTTAGGCATCTGCATAATCTGTCCAAGGTGGCACATACGCATGTGGATACATTTGTGGCACAAGTAGAAAGCTCCAGACAGAGATACAAAGGTGAAAGGTAACCAGAAATTAAAGCAGGATAAGAAAATTAAAAAAAAAAAATCCCTTAAGAACACTAAAAACTTTTCCCATTTACAGTTGTTTGTTCATGACATAAGCACTAAAGTCTTAAGAAACCAATTTGCACTTCTTACAAAAATAAATTTTACTCTAATGCCTGTTGAATTTATTTGGCTCTATTAGTTTATAATTTTATCCTGTTTTTGTGCTGAAATTTTCTCTTTATTAATATTTAGCTAGAACACATTTCAGTATACTTCCTCTTTAAGTTGAAAACAACAGAAGTAAGTATCCCATTCACTTTTCTGATACGTGACTCTACCTAAGGCTAATATTTTTTTCTCTAAGTGAACAGCTACTTTAACAGACCTTGGTTCCGTAACGACAACACAAATTGTAGTTAGCACACAGTTTTGGATGTAAATTCAACAGCAGGATAATGAGTTGCCTCGGATTTGTACTGACTATTGCTTAGTACCTTCTTATGCAGAAGCCAAGTATTTTTAAGGATTTTAAGTATTTTAATTACTTACAAAATACAACAAAGTACATCAGATACAATGGCCACCCTTTAGCTCTTCATTATTTGGTCATCTCTCTATTATATGTAGTTACCCATTTTCTCCTAATTTATATACTGAAACTGCATATTTGTGAAGCAGGTATTATCTTGCTTGGATTTTTTCAGTAGTTGTTGAAAAAAAAATTAAGTGATATATTTTAACATTCTCATATCTAAATTTACATATTCAAATTTACCTTATTCTTATTTTTGCAATTGTACTTTTTGGATTTCTCAGAACAAGCACTATCTGGATATTTTACCAGCTGTATAAATATATACATTTATTATATATAAATATATCTTTACATTTATTCATATAAAAAAGCATTTAAAATGACATAATGGCAATACTAAATCTTAAGCATAAAGGAGGGGTTAAGCAAAACTTATATTTATTTGTTTTCAATGTGCATTGTTAAAATATCTTTCTCCAACAACCGTATGTCTTTTGCATTTATTTGCACTTATATTACTGTTGCAAAACATGCATGTACGTGCCAGATAATCTTATAAAGGTTGAGCTTGAAATACATTTTTATATGATTAGAAATATATAGTACATAGGTATAAAGTCTTATGTTTACAGGTGAGAACATTTTAGCAAATTTTAGCAATTTATAATTTATTATTTTATTAATTATGTACACAAATACCAATTTCCTGGCAGTGTTTCATGATTTATGGTCCTGAAACATTTTCTGGGACATGCTTGCATCAACACCATTGCAACATTTCTGACAATTCTAACTTTAATTTTACTATACAGGAAACCTACAGTATTCCTAATTTACCTGATATAAAAAATAGCTTAATCACAACCCCTTTTAATACATTTAAAAGATTTAGGAAATTGTCTAATAATTCAGCCAGTAAATGACAGTTCTATATACATCATCTCTATTACTTTAGGAAGGACCTTCTCCAACAAATACTGCCATAAACCTCACATCTGTTTAACTACTGCCAAGTAAATCTTGCTATCCTTGACTCATATAACAGTTGCAAAGCAAAAGTGATGGTTGTTTAAGTTACTAGGAATGCCAGATCTTCTTTTGTTCTGATACTCTTTCTGATTATGGTTTATTACAGAGCTGCAGTCCATGCTAAATGAGTGTGTCCTAAGGAATAAAATAATACTTGCATGCTGTGTGTGAAACTCACAGCCCACTGAAATTGTCAGGAGTTTTGCCAAAGGTTTGAATGATTTTTTTTTCCCTAGATCTCTGGACTGATGAATAGAAAGAAATTGCTTCCCTTTTTCTCTCACTTCCCCTACTGAAATCCAGGCATCTTATAGACCTTTGGCTGTGAAAGACTTTTTGCCAGTACCCCCCAACCACAAGGAAAGAAACGATACTGCTCACTTTGCCATATGGTGCCTAATGCAGAAAGCAGCATTTTGTCAATAATCTTGGCATAACACAAAAATCTGATAACTTTTACTGTCTCATCTTACTTAGTCAATAAACCAGACAGCACCCAATATATCTGTTATGTCTCCCCCAAGTGACAGAGAAATGAGATTTTGTCTCAGGACTTGGAAGAGAGAATCTACTCTGCAGAATGAAGCTTCCAGGGTAGGGAAGAAAAAAATCAGTGTGAAAAATGAGGACGTACTTTTCCTTGGCCTCACGTTTGGATTGTGAAGATTAACTGATATTTGCAAGCTGTTCTCAAAACAATGAGCTCACACAATAAGGTAAATAAAAAGATGTAAAATTTCTAAGCTCAGGTGTCACTTACACTTGCTGATAAAGTGGCTATCATCTGCTCCTGTTATTCTTTCTAGTTCATGAACAGAGAAAACAAGGGTAAGAGCACCTTGGGATCTTAAATGGCTGTAAGGACCCTGAGTACATCCTTCCTCTGGGGGTTTTGACTGCTGGGCTCAAGCCCAACTTAGAGATAGAGCAGCTGAGGACTGTCCCTCCTTCCCTCTGGTGGCCATGGAGGAGCTGCCAGACAGCTCTGTGGGGACACCTCAGCTGCGGCCAACTCCTGCTTCTTGTGGGGGCTGCTTTGAAGCCGAAGCTCTAGTACTTGGCCTTGCCAGAGCTTCAGCTGCACCTGTGTCACAGCCGTGCCAGTACCTGGCCATGGGCCCACAGATCTGAGCTGGGACCCTGACCCACGCATTGACTTCCTGCCTTGCCCCAGCAGTCCAAGGGTTCTGTCTTACTCAGGTTACCCTCTCTGCAAGTGATCTTGACCCTGACGTGCTCATGCACAACCTTGGCTTGACCTTGGACTTGTATTTTCGCCACAGACCTGTTTGATGATCCAGACTCTCAACTGAAGTGGACTGCCCCCCTACTCATTTCATTTGGGGACTGGAGGACTAGGCCCTTCTTGGCAAGATCCCAGCCCCAGCAGCCTTGCTAACAGACTCAGCTCCTAGTTCCCCACCCTCACTGGGCTCAAACATCTTCCAAGACACAATGGGATTTCTTCTCCTGAATAATGTATGCAGTACCTTGTAATTTGTAATCCTTATTTTTTCACTGATATGAAATTACGGTGTATCCTCCTGGCTGAAATCAATTATTAGCACCCTGACCTGGCATTCCAGCCTGCCATATGACTGAA